GAAGTTCGCTGCCTTATCCACTCGAGCTACACCGGCATATCATCAAGCGTAGATTTTATAATAATGTAGTAATTTTTTTGAGGAAAAAAATGTTAGATCAAAATTAAGGAGAGGTTGACACAATGTAGTTTTCAAGTAAAAATCAAACTGTAAAACTTAATAAATGTTTCAGTATGTTTTAACATATGCTTTAACATTACTTAGTTTAAAGTTTACGTACGTTAGATATTCGTTCACGTATTCTTATAGTGCTGCGACTCTTTCTTGCCAATACCTCGGTTGCAATGGCTGCCAAGGGTTTCGTGTCAAATACGCTCCAAGGGACACTACTACTATTAAGTTTGGCAATATTATATAGAAGATTACTGAAAAATTGTTTTAAATTTAATAACTGCATAAGAAATTAAAGTAAACTTAAATAGAAAACAATAATAATAGTTTAAATAATTTGTTTATTGTTTTGATTTTTGTTTTTTCTTAGTGGTTTTTATTATCAGCAACAAAATTCATAAAGTCAAAGCAAAAAAAACAAAACGGTTTTAGACATTAAAAAGGATGACTTTCCCATATTTTATGTGTTTTTTCTTTTAAAGAGAAAAGAGAAAATATGTATCGTCATCTGTTTGAAAAATAAATTTGTATAATTATAATGTAACAAGTTTATATCAAGAGTTAAATTATACGATCGCGTTTGCAAACTCTGGTAAAATATTAGGTCTTTAAAATTTTTTTTTTTAAATTTAGTTCATGCAAAGCTGTGTACTTTGTTTATAAAGAGCAAATTATTAAAAGTTTGCTAGCGAGAAAGTTACGCAAAACAAAACAAAAACAATAAACTTATGACTACACAAGTAATAACACTTTAGTCACTAACTGCATTATAAAAGTAATAACACTATAATAGTGTTATTACATTTATATAGCACTTATTATTTTTAAAGTTCATTCTTTGTTCAAACAACATTATTAATTCCAAACATTTGCTAAAGTAGAAAAGCATCTTGAAAAAATAAAGCGGATATTAAAATATTATTAAAAATTTCAGGAACTTTCACATATCACTTAATCAGCGTTATAAAAAAGTACTTTATAAAAAGTATAGCATTATGAAAAACGTCAATTAAAATTTGGAAATACTAATGTTGCTTGAACAAAGAATGGATTTTAAAAGTTATAAGTGCGTTATAAAAGTAATAACACTATTATAGTGTTATTACTTTTGTAATGCAGTTAGTGACTAGAATGTTCTTACTTTTGTAATCGTAAGTTTATTGCTTTTTTTTTTATTTTTTCCCAAACAAATTTAAGTTGATTCTCCCCTTATAAACAAGGAACACGGTTTTGTATAAACTAAAATTTTTAATGCTAGATATTTTTCCAGATTTTGCGTTTTGCATTTGCTTAATTCAATCCTTGTTGTTACATTAAAATTATAAAAATAAATTTTACAAACACATTTCAGTTTTTATTTTTACTATTCTCTTAAAAAAAAATTAAGAAAAGGGAAATCATTTTTTTTTATTGTAGACTTCAAACTGTTTTTTTTTTTGCTTCACCTTATCTAATTTTGTTGCTGAATGTAACTCTAAAGAAACAAAAATAAAAACAGTAAACAAATTATTTAAATTACTAATTTGTTTATATTTTTTTCTATTTCAATCTCTTTTTATTTTGTTAGTATTTTTTTGAAACTTTTTCAGCATTATTATAAAACTTGCAAACGGCCGTGTTCATGTTTTCTAAAATAATCTAATCTCGTGTGGTCATACGAAACAAAAAACCGCACGCCTTTTCTGGGAAGGTTTGATATATATATATATATATATATATATATATATATATATATATATATATATATATATATATATATATATATATATATATATATATGTATATATATATATATATATATATTTATATATATACAGGCCTTGTTTTAAATAAAAAAGTGCTTAATGCATTAGCTTAACGCGATTTTGACGTCATAAAATTATCTTTATTTTTTTTTATAGGCGTTAAGTGTTTTAACTACCGCAATAAATAAATAACCGCAAACTAATTCAATTTAACAATTAACTCAAATATAAACTATAAACGTTTTAAATATAAATTTATTATGAAAATTTTGTAATGTTTTCAATTGTTATTTTATTATTAATTTTAGTTCAATATTATTTAATAAAAAATATATATATTAATTATTTCTGAAATTTGATTTTGAATAATTGTTTTTAATCGTTATTGAATAAAAAATAATAATGATTTTTTTTATTTTTAAAAATTTCTAGAGTAAACAAAAAATATTAACATTGATAAACACAAACCCATGTTAATTATTTAAACAACGATTTTGTTTTGACTAGCAAAGAAAAATTTAAGTTTTTAAATATTTTTTAAATTTTTAAAAGCGTTTCCACTCGCGTTTTCTAAAAATATAAACAAGTTTTGTCTGCTTTGAAGCGTATTTTTGATACGTAGTTTAGAACGCGTTCGCTAGGAATTTAATTCATAAATTTTTTACGTTATTGTAAAAATGTTTTACATTTTAAACAAATCACAAAGAAACAGAGCTATAGAGAAAAATCGTTTTCAACGATTAAATCTTTTTTTTTTTTAATTTTAGGAAATTAAAAAAAAAATTAAATTAAATATAAAAGTCTTAATTATGCAAACTCTTTTATTAATTATTCTTAAAACAAAAAAACAAATACTTGTACGCCAAACTTTAATCGTGCAAACTTATAAAAATACTCAACTGAAATAATTTAAGTATATTTAATAATTTGAATCGTATCTGTTTATAATAAACGTTCGTAAAAATTTGTTTATTAAAAATTAAGTTCCTTAACTTATAAACAAACTCAAAAGTATTTTCATTCTACGTTTAATTACAAAACTCTTTTTTTTTTTCGTTTGTAAGCAATTTAACTTAATAAAATAAAAAAAAGAATAAATATGAGGTAATCTTTCTTAAGAATAAATTTAATTTATTTATTGAACTATATTTTTATTTTTAATTATATATCAACTTAATTAAAATATAGTAACATGTTAAAATATTTTAACATGACTTGTATTATTTATAAACCGTTGGGCAGTTGCCCTTACGGCACTATTGTTTTTGGATAATATTTTATTTTGATGAAGATCACATAACTTACATTTGATTTTAATAACGTAAGTCTTCTCTTTTTCTGTGATCATCGCATCGGCAAAGTCCCAAGATTTAAAAGTTTTTAAAGTAAATCTTTTGTCCTTCAAAATACAATCCATATTCGAACTTTAAATAATTTAGAGATAATAGAAATATACAAGGTTTTTATATACTAGTTTGTTTTGTTTTATAAAGAAAAATACATATTCATTAGTAAAAAATGGAGACTGTCATTAAACTAAAACGTGCCTTAGTATTTATTTAACGGAACCTGTATGTGCGCGTGCATAATAAAACCTCCGTTATATAAATATATTCAACGTAATATTAGTGTCATCAGCGGATGTTGAAGTCTACTCATGATTTCTTTACCTTATATTATAACTTGATTTATGACAAAAAAACTTATTGAATCGCACGCAGAAGAATTTTAACAAATTGTCTTCATTCAAATATTGCGAGTAACAGGTAATTTTTTTTTCTGTGCCGACCCCCTCCCCCCGCATAACTTAAACTATATACTAATAAACTAATAAGAAAAGCTATATACTATTAAACTAACTATAAGCTATATACTATTAAACTAATAAGAAAAGCAAAGACATTTTTTTTAACATCTCGAAAAAATGTCTTGATATTTTTGTTATCATGATAACAAAAATATTAAGACATTTTTTGAGATTTTATTTAAAAAAATGTCAATTCTTAATTACAATTTTTTTTGCAAATGTTTTTTATTATAAATTCAGTAAAAAAATCATAAAAAATCTATATTACAAAAAACTTTTATATTCTGTATTAATAAATATAGAATATAGATTTTTTTAAAGTTTTTTACTAAAAACTTTACTACTTTTTATTAAAAACATTGCAAAAAATTTGTAGTTAAGGATTGACAAACAATTTTTCATGTTGCTAAATATTTGGATAAAAAGTTTAGCGTCAAATTAATTGCTATAAAAAGGAAAGATATATCGCGATGAAAAGTTACAACAATTAATTTTAAAGTAAATTCTTTTTTTTAATAAATACCTTTACATATCGTTATTTAAAAGTTAATGTGGTTTTTTGAAAATTAATTACTTCTTTTATGTTACCGCTTATTTAAAAGTTAAAAAATGATAAAAAGTAGCTTAACCAAAACAGCTCTACGCGTACGTAAAAAGCGCTTAAGGCGTACGTAAATCGCTCTAGGCGTAACGCTTTAAAACAAGGCCTGATATATATATATATATATATATATATATATATATATATATATACATATATATATATGTATATATATATACATATATATATATATATATATATATATATATATATATATATATATATATATATATATATATATATATATATATATATATATATATATATATATATATAGATATATATATATATATATATATATATATATATATATATATATATATATATATATATATATATATATATATATATATATATATATATATATATATATATATATATATATATAATATATATATATATATATATATATATATATATATATATATATATATAAATATATATATATACATATATATATATATATATATATGTATATATATATATATATATATATATATATATATATATATATATATATATATATATATATATATATATATATATATATATATATATATATATATATAGGAAATGTATATATTTATACTGTTAATAAAAAAAATATTTAAAGTATAAAAATTAGAAAAAAAATTGGTAAAAAAAAAAAATTGATATTTATATCATTAATATTTATAAGGTACTTTTATTATCAACTGTTAATTATAAGTAATTAGTTTATATGCTTTATATTTAGATGTTGTTTCCCCAATAAGAAAAGTATTAGTTGCTAATAGAGGTGAGATAGCATGTCGTGTGATTCGTACTGCAAAAAAGATGGGTATACGTAGTGTTGCATGCTACAGTGATGCTGATGCAAAATCTATGCATGTTGAATTGGTAGTTTTCATTATATTATTTTTTTGGTTATTAATCCTTATTCATTAATAAATTTCATTTTATAATTTAAGATTTTTTAAGTAGAGCATGGGATTTTGAACTTTTTTATAATATATTATTATTAATTTGAATACGAACAAAATTAATCAATACATACAGGCCTATTCTAGAAAAAAAATTTGGGCGGCAGTACCCCCTCTCACCCCCCTCCTTTCGATGGACTTTAGGGGAAAATCGGCAGTTTTTTCGCAATATTTGCCTTAAAATGTAAAAAAAATGTAAAGAAAAGGTACTTAATTTTTAATTTTTTTTTTGCTGTCAAAAACGGTTTAGAATAGCTAAAATATATTTAAGTAATTATAAACTTATTTTTCTTAAAAATTAAATATAATTTTTTTTTTCTTTAATAAAAACCTCTAGCTTTCCTTTAATTTTAGCAAAACTAAAAAAAATTATTTTTGTTTTAGCTAAGGAAAAACTGAAGGCTTTTTTTAAAAATGTTTTTTTCACTTTTGTTAAGACTAAGAAAACGCTAAAGGTATTAATTTAAAAAAAACAACAAAAAAACTATCAGTTCTTTAGGTTTTTTTATGGAACTATTAAAATTATTAATCTGGTTACATATTGCTGTTGTTTCTTTGCAATATTACATATGCCTTGATTAATATATTTATAATATATGCCATTTTTTTTATAGTTGTTTGCTTGATTCTTGTAATGGTTGGGATTCTAGGACTGCTTAGGATTCTGGGGTTGTTTGACTTTATTTGATATTATTAAAGATGTAAATTATGTAATTTTTTTTAAGTAAAAAAAAAATTAAATAAATGGGGTTCACAGTGACTGGTGAACTTTCAGATAAAACTCAATTTTTTCAGTTAATAGTTATCACAATACTTTGGATCTTCCTATATTTATGAACGGTAATGTACTTGATAAGTCATCTACCCTTCATCATCTAGGATTAACTCTTACTTCTGATCTTTCTTGGAAACCATATATTAAATCCATTGCAAAAATAGCATCTGCTAAAGTTGCATCTCTTTATCGAGCTTAACACCTTCTTACTCTGGATTCTATTCTCTATCTCTATAAATCTCAAATCCACCCTTGTAAGAAATACTGTTGCCATATCTAGGGCGGATCTTTTAATGATGCCCTTTCTCTTTTAGACAAGGTGCAAAAACACATTGTAAACATAGTTGGACCTGCTCTTGCAGCTAACCATCAACCATTATCACATCGCCGTTGTTCTTCTCTTGCTTTGTTGTTTTCTTTTTTGTTGCTTCTCTTTTTTTCTTTTAAAAATACTATAATGTTCACTTCTCTAAAGAGAAGTGAACATTATAGTATTTTTAAGATATAAGTACTTTTAAGATATAAAAAAGTTTTTTAATACTTAACCCTTTTAAACAAATATTTTTAGAAACTAAAGAAATGGCTAAAGATAATGTAAAAATAAAAGATAATAATAAATAAATATAAATATCCAAAAAATGTTGTTGACATTTTTAAGAATAGTCTTTTGTGCATTATTTTACTTTTTTTTAATCTAAAAAGAAACTTTATCATAACAAAAAATTTCAAATTAATAATATTTGTATAAATCTGTATTGAATGTTCAAATTTTTAAAAATAGTTTCTTCAGTGTCTGTAGAAAATCTTTAATTAATAATCATGCCCCTGACAGATCAGGTGTATAATCTTGCAAAACATTTTACTGAATATACTATATTTTAAAGATTCAAAAGGTTTTCTTACAGAAATTTAAGTAAAGTTTTTGCAGGGCTGTGGAGTCAGAGTTGTGGAGTCGCAACATTTTTAGCGGAGTCAGAGTGGCTTAACAAAATTGCGACTTCGACTCCATTAGTAAAAATTCAGGTATAGTAAGTACTTTTACATGTGCAATTACATAATATTTAATTAACCCTACATTCATCTTTTTAGGCTGATGAAGCTTATTACATTGGTGGTTCAGCAGCTGCAGATAGTTATCTGAACATGGAAAAAATCATAAATGTTGCTAAAAAGTCAGGTGCCCAGGTATTTAAACCCATTTTTTTAACCTTTAACTTCTAATATAGGGTGAAACAATTATTTATTAGGGAAGGAACTTTGTGATACCCCAGATTTTACTGGTAATTAAGAAGAGTTTCGTCCATCAAGGGTCACTTTGTTGCTGTGATTAGAAAAGAAAGTATTTTCAAAAATTACTCAGACTAACCATATAAATTGAGTCTATGAAGAGGCCAGCATGCCAGACCATTGCTGAAAGTTTTTGATATATTATGAGCAATAACCTTAGTCTCACCATTTCCATCTAATGCATTATAAATGGAAATGGCGAGGCAATAAACAATTGGCTTCCAATTGACAATTTCAATAACAATTGACAAGTCAGCAGTGAACAAGAGGGTTAAAATCCAGAAAAATGTGCTTAACTGAAAAAAATTCAGTTAAGTATTTGTAACATAACTTGATTAGAAAAGAACAATTTTGTATAACTGTAACAGCAATGTTATCTGGGCTGCAAGAAGAGTTTAAGTAGGAAATAATTTTAGCAATATGTAGTAATTGACTGGAACTCGACTAAATGTTGAGCTAAATTATAACATAATACAGTTCATATAAATTTACAATAACAAGTAACAAATAAGACATTTGAAAAGAATTAATGTTTCTTCTGAAGGATCCTAGATAACAATAATTTAAATTAGATGACATGATGTCATCGAAAACACTATATAAAGATGTTGACTAAGAAAAAGCTATTGAATTTTATTAAAAAAAATTTTTTTTGTGTATTATAGACTTACTTTATTAATGCACTCTTGAATTTTTTTTTTAACTTTAAACTCTTTCACTTATTGTTAAGCTTGAAGGTGAACATAACATAAATATTTGTTTTGTGTGTTTGCTAGTGCCTGCAACTCCCTTTTCATAACCTTTCATAACAATTTAATAAAGGATCATCCATAATATCTGTATGGTTCATTTTTAAATACATCCAAAGCTCAATTGTGACAGATATTGTTGCTAAAAGAATAGTTTTATAACATAGTTAAAAAGAAAGATAAAAAGTTTTACTTATTTTTTGATTCATTGTCTAATAAAACATTGATTTTTTATAACAATGATTTGTACACCTTTTGATTTTTAAATTTTAAGAGAAAATATTTCCAGGAGATTATAAATGAGGCACAATTTTCAGCTGAAAGACATAAGGCATTATCCCAAAAGTCACAAATAGTAAAATCTGCTATGATAGGGTGAATCAGATGTATATAATAGTTTTAGTGAAATAAAAGTTTTAGTGAGATCATAGCATGATCTGAACCATCTAAACAAGAACAAAGAAAAACTGTGTACAAGTTAGTGCCAGAAGTAAAGTGTAAATTGTGTACAAGCTAGTGTCAGAAGCTGTGTACAAACTAGTATCAGAAGTAAAGTGTAAACTGTGTACAAGCTGTTAACATTTTATTTTAACAAGTTTAATTATTACTTCTGTATCAAGATAAGTAGGTTTTGTTAAAAAAAGATTCACAAAAGGTTAAATTTGAACACTAAAAAAATAATAACTCCAAACACTAAAAATCTTTTCAACATTGTTTTTGTTTAATTGAAATTACATGAAATTTGCTTAAGATATTGTTCAAAAAATAAATCTAATTATAATAATAATTAGACTAATTATAATAATGACATTGTTTGCATCATTTCAGGCTATTCATCCTGGTTATGGATTCTTGTCTGAAAAACCAGAATTTGCTAATCTTTGTGAAAAAAATGAAGTTATTTTTATTGGACCACCATCATCTGCTATTCGTGATATGGGCATCAAAAGGTTTAAAAGTGTATTTCAATTGTTTAAATTCAATGTAATTTATGCATTGAATGAAATTGTTTGTTTGAATTTTGTAAATGAAAATCTTTAGTACATCCAAGGAAATAATGGGTTCAGCTGGTGTACCCTTAATTAAAGGTTATCATGGGGATAATCAATCAAATGAATTCTTAAAAGAACAAGCTTTGAAAATTGGGTAATAGTATTTTGTTTTTTTAAATAATAGAGAATTTATTATATGCATGAATTTGATAATAAAAACAGATTCTCAATTGGATAATGATCAGGTTATTGTGATGGCCACTTAATGGTAGTGTTTTCACCATTTTGTATATACCTTTGGTTTTTTTCTCGCTGTATGTTTTGCATCATTGTTTTATTAAATAATTTAATTTGATCCGAAAAATAGATTTGTTATACTTGTTTTTAATTAGTGCACTAAATTTAAGTGGTTGAATTCCGTTGCTCCATGGCTTCTTTAACTCTGTACAAGTTTCCCACTGCACAAACATGAAATACCTACCTAAATAATTACTTCTAAAATATGATTGATTATTCATGTTTTACTGTGGCATGTATACATTTTAGGTTATATGCTTCACCTTTTTTTTCCAAGTTCTTTTTTGCTTACTTTATTGCAGTACAATAAAAGACTCGTAGACATGTTTTCATTTATTCTAAGTCTGGTTCAAGTGATCTCCGCACCATTTTAGGCTTTAATACATTTTTTTTGTTTTGTTTTTGAAAGGCTTTTTTGGCTTAAAGTGATGTATTTTTATATAAGTGTTCAAAGTTAAAATATTTTAAGTTTAAATTAAATTTAAACTTTTAAATATTTAAAAAAAAAAAAAACTATGACAAGACTATATTAAATTATATTAAATTTATAGTTGCTTATTCTGAATACTCTCTGTGTTTATTTTTCTAGATATCCTGTTATGCTAAAGGCAGTACGAGGAGGTGGTGGTAAGGTAATATTTTACTTTTTTCACGTTATCTACTTGTTTGTAATTTGTCCTATTATTTAAATCAGATATAGTTGATATTAGTGATTATATATTGTATAAATATGCTTTTAAGAAATTGAACAATTGCTTTTGTTGACATAGGGGATGCGAATTGTCACAAATCCATCAGATTTTGAAACCTCATTGCAATCTGCAAGAAATGAATCTCTTAAAGCATTCGGTGACTCTAATATGCTCATTGAACAGTTTATAAAAAAACCAAGGTGAGTCATAAAAGTTTTCCAATTTTTATAGTTGCTCGGGCAACTAGTTTTAATTAATTAGTTTTAATTAGTTTTAATTTTATAAGTTCTACAAGTTTTATTAAAATGACTAAATAAATGAACCATAAAATATTAGTATTTTTTCAGACATGTTGAAGTTCAAGTATTTGCTGATAAATATGGAAACACTGTGTATCTGTTTGAGAGAGATTGTAGTGTTCAAAGAAGACATCAGAAGATTATAGAAGAAGCTCCTGCTGTATGTTCTTTTAAAATTTGATCTTAATTTTTTCAAAATAATTAATATCAACTAGCTGAAGTTTGCATCTAGTACTTTCATGCAATACTATTGTCATAGTTCTACTAGCAGCTGTTTATGATTTTAAATTTATTTTTAGCCTCATATGTCAGAAGAAATTCGTAAAAAGCTTGGAGATGCAGCTGTCAAAGCAGCTAAGGCTGTAGGTTATGTTGGAGCAGGTATGTAGAATATGTTAGAGCAGGTATCATTTTTGAATATTAAAAACTCCTCATCTAAAGTATAAGGAGTTAGTAGAGTTGTGTAATGTAACCTTACTTCACCAGATTAATCTGTAAAACATGCACTGAGATTTTCTGTTGCCATATCACTTTAGTCTATTGATTTGATAATGTTTTACAGTCCAGTTCTGAATTTAGTGAATTTGTAGAAACCAATTAACATTACAAAACTAGTAGGTTTGCTTGATTATTTTAAGCAGGGAAAGGGCTAGGTATACTTTCATGATATTGACAGTATAATGAATTGGTATTGACAGTCTAATGAACTGATATTGATAGTGTATAAGCTGATATTGACAGTCTAATTCATAATACTGACGGTGTAATGAGTTAGTATTGACAGTCTAATAAATTCGACATTTATTGCATGAGGGAAGATTGTTGACTTTCTAATGATTTTTTACTTTAAAACTTTTTTTGTTACACATTTGAAATTAATTCCGATTTAAATTTTAAATTTGATTTATTGCCTTTCGTCCATTCAGACTAAAATGAAAGAAACAAAAAAATTAATTTTACAGAAGACTGAATAAACAGCTCAAATTGAATGAATGATTATATATACACACAGTTTGTTTGTATATATACTACATATATGTTGAAGATTTAGAAGTTGTCTTATTGTTCCTTGATTATCAGAGGGAATTGCAAAATTTACTTCAAGATTTGACTTGACTCGTCAACAAACTATATAATTATCAAAACCAATAATTTTGATAAGTTTGAAGTTTTTGGTAAAACTTTAAAATTCACTTACCATACATCTTTCACAGTCATCATTCTTTAAAACCTTGCAGCGCAAACAAATGACACTTGGTCCCTTTACAGAGAACAATGAAATGCATTAATGAATTTAATGCTTTTCTTCAACAATAAACATTAATGTAAAAATTTTTAAAATTAACAGCAAAAACTAACAGCAAAATTAAAATTTCTTCATTCTCCTTAATTATTTTCTGGTCAAACAAAGTTGTGTAAATGTTTCATTTTCAAAAAAAAAACATGTTATTCTTTAAAGTTTACAATCCTATATGAAGTTTATCTTTACATTTTTTTGTTTTAATTTATTAAATTTTAGGAACTGTGGAATTCATTTTTGATGAAGAAGGAAATTTTTATTTTATGGAAATGAACACTCGTTTGCAGGTTAATTTCATTTTTAACTTTCATTATTTTGTTTTTGTTCAAAATAAACTATTAAGTATAAAAACTTATTTGTACTTAAAAAGTTTGTGCTTGTTTATTAATAATGGCTATATAAATAGTTTATTTGCATTTAGGTTGAACATCCTGTAACAGAAATGATATCAGGTGTTGATTTAGTAGAATTACAGATTCGTGCTGCTGCAGGTGAGGTTCTTCCGTTTACACAAGATGATCTTTTACTTAATGGGCACTCATTTGAAGCACGTATATACGCTGAAGACCCTGAAAGGTTGTTTTTGTATCTTGTTTGAATTTCCATATTTCACTTTTTTTTTTGTTTATGTATGTATATATGCATGTATGTATGTATGTATGCATGTATGTATGTATGTATGTATGTATGTATGTATGTATGTATGTATGTATGTATGTATGAATGAATGTATGTATATTTTATATTACATGCATGTTATATGTATGTTTTGCATATCTTCTAATATTGAAAAAAAAGTGATTTTATTTATTAAGTAACTTCATCCCTGGTACTGGATTACTAAAATATATTTCTACTCCAAAAGAAGACTCTTCTGTTAGAGTTGAAACAGGGGTTAGACAAGGTGTTTTTATCTTTTTATAAACTTTTTTTTTCCATCAATTTAAACGTATTTTTTCTATGATTTATTAATTATCATTGCATTCATTTTAAGTTAAAAAAAAAAAAAGATAATCTATTTTTAGGTGATGAAGTCAGTCAATTTTATGATCCTATGATTGCTAAGTTAGTTGTTTGGGACAAGGATAGAACATCTGCTTTGCTAAAACTTACTAACAAGTTGCAAGAATATCATGTAGGATTTGTTATTTATGCAGTTAAGTTATTATTGTAACTTAACTGTTATTTATGCACTTAAGTTATTATTGTAACTTAACTGTTATTTATGCACTTAAGTTATTATTATGCAGTTAAGTGTATATATTATTATAAGCATTAGTTTCTGCTGTGAAATGAAAATATTTTATAATATGCCATTCAATCTTTAAAGAATTAATCTATACTAATTAACATTATTACTTGTAATAAATAGAATATAATAAAGTTAAATTAATTGTAAAATAATTGATTTCTAAAAAAAGAATAAAATTTAATATACTTCCGTATTAATTTAATTGCTTTGACATTTTGACAACAATAAAATGTAGCTTAATTGTCGAGGTAGCAAAAATGTAGTTGAAAGAGAGTACGATATAAGGATATATATATATATATATATATATATATATATATATATATATATATATATATATATATATGTGTATATATATATATATATATATATATATATATATATATATATATATATATATATATATATATATATATATATGTATTTAAAAACTTGAAAAATTTAAAAATTATGGCTCTTTAAATCTTTAACCCCTCTTAATTTTGCATGGTCATAAAAACTTAACAATGACCAAAACAAAACAGGTTGTTAACAACCCTTTAATCATAAGTCAATAAAAAAGGGATTTGTAAAAAGAAAAATTTTTGCAATAAACAAATAAATAAATTAATTAATAATAAATAAACAAATAAATAAATAATTTAAATGGAGTTGGAGATAAGGGATAAGGTATAGGAAGCAGGAGAATTTAGATTTCAAATTTTTAGACTATCGTACTTTATGGATGCTCTTGAAGTTTTTTCTGTTAGCTGTTTTCCTCAGCGATAAAGATATTTTTTGTATGTGATTACCATCAGAACTGGTAAAACAAATCTTGTCTTGTCTGAATTGTTGATAATTTCTGATATCATTATGATTTTTACTTGTTTGAGCAATTATTTTATTTATTAATAAAGCTTTGACTATATTATTACAGCAAATGTGATTTACACACTGAAACAGTCATTCACAACAGCCATTCACAAAAAAAATTTGTTTAAATTATCGTACTTTTGTTGATACTTTTGAACTCATTTAAATTATGAGAATTATTTTTCTTTGTTGCTGTTCGATTAAGGATATAGTTTTGTCTGGAAAATTTACATTTTCCTTGCCAAAAGCTAAATTATTAAAAAATTAGTTTTCAATTTTAATCTGCATTTTTTTTAGAATTTCACTAAGTTACAAAGTTGGATTGGTATACACATTTTTTATAAAAAAATAAATAATCATTATTCATAAAAAATAAATGTTTATTTATTTTTCTTTCAGAAAATGTATAGTTTTATTGAATAAATATGATGCCTTTTTCTATCATTATTGATATATTTAATTTGATTTGTTCTGTTTACAAATAGTAAATTCAGATGTGAAAGAGTCAATTTGAAATTCAAAGTGTTTAAGAATATTAAAGTACAGTTAAATTTTTTTTTTTTTTTTTTTTTTTAATATTCTGAATATACCACCTGAATTTCCTTCTTTCATTACAAAAAACTCTTATAGATGATGCACCACTATATGAACGTAAAGAATTACCAAGTTATGTTTGAACCCAGATCTCTGGAAACTTAACTGTGATCTTTGTGAAACTTTTGATCTTTGTGAAAAATGTGATCTTTGTGAAAATTTTTTAACATAATCATAGTAGTTTCTATTCTTTTCTTTCCTAAAATATCCATGAACAATGCTGAAGTCTCTCAAAGTTTTCACATATTTTCCCACAATAATATTGATGTTATCCAGATAAATTTAATAGCAATTAAGTTTCCATGGGAACATTTTGTTTTCATTTACTAACCTATGTTTACCTTGGTATGACTCTCTGGCTAGGTTAATTGAAAACAGATAACTATTTACAAATTGAAATCTTTGATTAGTATTTTTAAACCAATTTTTTTCAGTTAGTTTGAGAAGTTTGCCTATATATATATATATATATATATATATATATATATATATATATATATATATATATATATATATATATATATATATATATATATATATATATATATATATATATGCCTAGTAATATATTTTGCCTGGAATTTTGAAAAAATCTAAGGTCTTTGTTTTATTTTAAGTCGATTAAGGTAGGTTAATAAAGGCCATTACTAAAGTTTTAGCTTAAGCAATATTTCTCCTACCTGCTATCCATTTATTATTCCACTTGTTGAAGAATATGTTTCAGCTTTTAGCATATTAGTTGATTTTGTTTTACAAAATGTACTATAGTGCTTGATAGTTGTTGACTGTTTTCTAATCATCAGAAGAAGAACCTATAAATTCTATGACACAGTAATTAATAGATATAAGTTTAAATTTTTCTAGCAACTTTTTTATGTTTGCATAACTTTGATCAATAAAAGGTAGTTCAGTCAAAACTTAGATTTTGTAAACTTGTAATCACATCCATTGAAATAACATCCATTCTCATGTTCAGAATGTTTTTATTTTTTCTTTTTACTTGAATGTGCATCTTGCTCTGTCTTTAATGTACTTTTAGGTAGTCCTGCTCAATATCTAACTCGCAAAACACCTGCTTCTCTGCTTCAATAGATATCATAAGCACATTTGTTTGTTCCATTTTTATGTTCAATATCCTGTTTAGATTGAGTTAACAAGCTCAGCATGAAACATTAGCTTTTGTATTCTTCTATTAACCTTTTAGAAAAACAAGGCTCAAATTTTTGTCTTCCCCCATTTACTCCTAGAAATCAATCTCTAACATCTTAAAGTCACAAATAAATTATATGCACTTGTTAAAAACAATAAATTTTTATTAATAAATAATATATACTTTTTGAATTCTGTTATATACAATTAAACCTTGCATGAAGTTTGTTTTGTAGTCATTTCAGTTTTAAGGGAAAAAAGTAAAGGGTTTTTAGAATAAAATGTACAAAGTTAAATAAAAACTGTTAAATAAAATCTTCATTATTTAATTATTCCAGTCACTGTTTAAATATTACAGTCACATTTCTAAAAAATCACAAAAAAAAAAAAATTGGAAAAAAAGTTTTTAAATTTTAAATGTTTTGTTTATTATTTTCATTATAATAAACAATATCTATAATTTACTCTCATTTATTTCTAACCTATTTTAAATTTTCAAATAAAGAACCTTATTCATCTGTATTGCTATCAAAGAATAAATTAATTTTAAAACTGAATCACAAACAGAAAATTACTAAACAAACTCTTATTCCTCAAAAAAATAATTTATATATTAGTAAAGATTTCCAGAAAATTACAGGGTTGCACTGTGATTGCATAACGTTGCAGCAATTGTTTAAATGCAGTTTATTTATGGTCATGCACGGAAGTTGCAAATTTATCGAGTTCATAAAATTGGTTTTATGGAAATAAATTGCTTGTGAGTATTTTAATGAAATATTATATCCTACAACTCATATTTAATATATTTTCTATGAGAAATAGCTTTCAACAAGTATTTCTAGCTAGAGTATTGCTTTTAAAAGTCAGTGTATATTTTTTAAGCTAGTGCAATATTAATAAATAAATAACAATGATAAAAGTATACATATTTAAAAGTTAAGGTAGCTTAAAATGTGATAAAATATTTTTGTTATAATTGCTCTTTATCATGATAGTAGCTGCTAGTTGTATAGAATAAGAAAAACAAAAATCATGTGCAGAAATGGAAATGTCTCATACTTTCAGAGTCCTTGCCATGCCAGTAAAATATGTCACATTAGCACAATAGGTATTGCAATATCAAAATAGAGTTGATAACGCATCATTTTTTTGTTTATGAAGTCACATAAAGAAAAATTATCTTCAGATACCCATGTCATTTTTATGGTTAAATGAGATTAAGGTTCATATTAATCAAAACTTTTTGCCTAAGTAACAGTGATTGCAATCAAAATTTTTCAATATATTTTGTTCTATATTCATTTTTTTTAATTTTGTGAGTACTCAAGTAATCCCACTGATTCAAAGAAATTGTTATATTTTATCTTAAAGCCTATAAACAACAATTATTACCTAATAATAAATTAATAAATATTGCTATTAATAATAACGTTGTTGCAATTACAGAAAATAAATAACCATAATGGCTGACTGAAAAATATTATCTTAATACGAAAACATTTTTATTTATAAAACTTTTTAATAAATTAACTCAAAAAGCTACCAATAAATTTTTACGGTTATAGAACATGCAAAGAGACTACGTTTTCTAATTAAAAAAAAGTTTCATGGGATAAAACATTAGGACTTAAGTGACTTTTAAAGCAGCTAGGGGGGAATGCAGGTTTTTAGCTAACAATGACAAAAAAAACCCACTGTGCAAATAAAAGAAATTAAAATAAAGAGAGGGAAGAGCATAAATATTTTATTGAACCAAAATACTTTTTTTTGAAGAAAATGTGAAGTAGCTTAACTCAGAGCATTTTTATTTTCTCTTAAGTATGATGGGATACAGTTTTATGATCATAATTATTTTTTATTGCTTTATGAACAAAACTCTTTACAAAACCTTTATTGTGAACCATTTTATTATTATTCATAAATTTATTTAAAAAATAATTGCTTATAAATTTATTATTAAAAGTTAATTATTCATAAATTTATTTAAAAATAGTTCAATAAACAATGAAAAACTATTCAAATTGTCAAGATTTTATGTTTTAAATTTTTTCATGGTAAAATTTAAAATGGCTATTTAAAATTTAATAGCCATTTATATTGTACTGTATCAACCGTCACATAACAAAAGAAAAATATTTTTGTGAAACCTTGATATAGTGGAGTACATTTGCAACCATTCAAATGGTAACAGTTGCAGATGATGCAAAGTATAGTTTACACTAGAGAATTTATATTAAATGAAGAATTTTTTATCTTAATAATTATTCAAAAATATTCAATTTTCATATATCCTGCAAAGTTTAATTTACATTAGCAAGTTTTGTAAAATAAATAAATTTAAACAAATTTTCAATAAAAGTATTAAGGTTTGCAGTCTAATATTAAACTATGTTAATATCTAATATATATATATATATATATATATATATATATATATATATATATATTTTTATTGGTTATTCACTGAGTTATTTTCAAATAAATATATTGGTTCATTATGTAAATTTTTGTCCGTTATTATTTCTCTGTAAAGACTTCTATTTTTAATATTTATATCAGAGTTTTAGTATTGTAAAATAATCTTTTGAAAATATAAATAAAATTTTACGAAACATGTCAAAAATAAAAAACATTGAGTTATCTTTAAAAATAATTACTTATTTTATGCTATTAGGTTGATAACAATATATATATATATATATATATATATATATATATATATATATATATATATATATATATATATATATATATATATATATATATATATATATATATATATATATTTATATATATATATATATATATATATATATATATATATATATATATATATATATATATATATATATATATATATATATATAAATATATATATATATATATATATATATATATATATATATATATATATATATATATATATATATATAATTTGCGCAGCGATACCCCCTTGTTCAAGCCAACTTCAGCGGAAAATCAGCGGGTTTTTTTTGCAAAAGTTTTTTTGTAAAAAAAAAATAAGGTCCTCAAATTTTAATTTGGGCAGCGCCCAAATACAGTTGACGCTGTCGAAAATGGTCTAGAATAGCCCCCGATATATATATATATATATATATATATATATATATATATATATATATATATATATGTATATATATATATATATATATATATATATATATATATATATATATATATATATATATATATATATATATATATATATATATATATATGTATATATACATACATATATATATATATATATATATATATATATATATATATATATATATATATATATATATATATATATATATATATATATATATATACATATATATATATATATATATATATATATATATATATATATATATATATATATATATATATATATATATATATATGTATGTATATATATATATATATATATATATATATATATATATATATATATATATATATATATATATATATATATATATATATATATTTGAATAATATATTGTTAGGTTTTTGAAATATATAAATATGTTTCATTTCTTTTTTCAGATTGTTGGATTGAAAACAAATATTCCATTTCTTATTAGCCTTTCATCAAATAGTTCATTCATTAATGGTGATGTACATACTGGCTTCATTCAGGTTTCTCAAATTAACAAATTTTAACCATTAGATTTGCTGTTAAGTTACATTTTTATTTAATAATTTTTGAAATCATTTAGCAACATTACAATGAGTTATTCTGTGGAAAACCAAAAGTTACAGATGAACAGTTTGTAAAGGGTGCAATCGGCATCATACTGCAACAGAAAATGACTGAAATAAAAAGTAAATATTTTAATACACCCCTAGTCAGAAATTGACACCCTTGAGAAAAGTTTTTCCTTTTCCAAACTCCTATTTTGAATCTATCCACCCATTGTTAAGGTTTTATGTTGTTGTTTTTTTGTTTTTTTTGTAGTTTCAAGTGATTAGTATTTAATAATTTTTATATAAAATTTGTTTTGCTTTTTTATAAAATATATTTTTCCTTTATTCTAACTTTATAATAAATTTATTTTAAATTTTAATTATTTATAATTATTTAAATATTTTTATTTATATTAAGTTATTACTCTCTTATTTTTTTTAAATCAGTTTTTTATTAACCATGGGGAACAGTAGATTTAGACAATTATTGGTAAAATACATCAATATTTAGTAAAGTTGTTTACCATGACTTTATACATTTCATAATTTTATCGCTATCTACATTATACATGCCACAATATGTTTTATATGATATAGCCTTTATTATTTTATTTAATTTGGTATTTAATAGTTTCTAAATTTGAGCTTTAAAGGTAATTCATAGTCAGAATTTAGTAGAATGTAATAACCATTAGAGTATCATAACATATATAAACAACCTACCTTTGTTTTTTTAACTAAAAATATTATAAAGAAAATATTTCTCACAGCAATAGATGAGTGACTTCGAGTCAGGCAATATACTTCAGTAGTGGTAGGTGTATTGCTAATTTAGGGGGTGATGTTTCTAATTTTGCACTATCTTTTTCAATTATATTTAGAGTTGTAAACAAAGGAAGAGAAATGATTATAAAAAAATATTGGTCACTTGCACTCAAAATTTAGCCTAATAAACTTGTTAAATTTTTTTATTTTTACTTGTTAATTTTTTTAATAGTTTTTATTTATATGTAATGCAATTTTTATTTATATGTAATAAATGAGTTGAGATAGGAAAGGAAGGGAGAGTAGGGAGAAAGGGGGTAATGATAAACAGTAGAGTAAGAATTTTATTTTAGTTTCTATAAGTGAGTTTTAATTTTCTAGTAACATTTAATGACTTGGAATTTATTGTTTTTAAACCCGGAGTTCTTGAGTTCTTGCTGCCATTATACCTAAGGACTCTGTGTTCAAAAATATGAAAATTTTAATTTTTTTTCTTATTTGTAGTTTATAAGCTTTTTTATACTTTTAGAGCTCTTAGATACTTCAAACTAGAAATAAGTAATCTTTTCGTGACTTTTAAACTGGAGTGCTTTTTGGGATTCTGCATTCTTTAGTAAAATTTAATAAACAGGGAGGGGGCCTTGATAATCTCAGGGTGGGTGGGAGAATTCTCAGAAAATTATTAAACATCGAATTCTCTGGTTAAACACTTAAGAGTACCACCTTTTTTTTCTCTTTGATTTTTATTTTAATTCCTGGTTTATAAATAACAAATTTAAATAAACTTGACCATGTTTTTTTTTGTTTGAAAAAAGACCCCTCTTCAATCCTTTGTGACAACTCTAGCTATATTCAGAATAACATCTAAAAAAAATCTTGCTACATTGGCATTATTGTAATTCAACTCACCCCAGTAAAATTGTAAATAAGGTCAAAATTGCATATACTATGTTTATTTTTAAATTTTTGTTTTATATAGTTTTAAATAGTTGTTTTATTGGATTCCTTGATTCAAAATATACAAGTGTAGACATTTTCAGCTTTCCGTGGAACATAGAACAAAAACTTAGACCAAAACCATTTTCAAAAATGAGATTTTGTCAGTTTAGGGCAATGTTTGAATAGTCATATCTGGATAGAATTAAATGATAAAATTTTGGGAATGTTAAAATTCCCAAAATTTAAAATTATTAAAATCTATGAGTGGTATAAAAATCTGAGACTTCGAGCAAATTCTGTGACTTAAGGTTGCATTTTATAAAAAAATTAGGCATTTTTTTTCACATAGAAATGCTTCATGAAGTTTGTACTAGTAACTCCACATTTTTAAAAACTATTTATTACTTTTAATAATAAACTTATTTTGTTAGTGGTTTAAGTAATTTTTTTTTTTTTTTTTTTGTTGCCAACATATCACATCAACTTAACACAAAATTAAAAATCGTAATTTATGATGGCAAACAGATTTAAATGAGTATTTAATTTGCAAGTGCAATGAAATAGAATTCCATTTGATTGCAAATGTAATCTTCCTATTTTTTTCTCTTTTTTGATAATCTGAAACTTAAGAAACTCTCAAGAAATTTTTAGCACTAGATTGGGAAAAAAGAACTTTTAAAAAAAGAAACTTTTTAATACGAGCTCTCTTGCTCGGCTTCTTATATAAAAAAACATTTCCTTTTTTTTCTAATATAAAATTTACTCTATACCACCCTATTATATAGATATGAATACATTAAATATCTCCAGATAAAAGTGTTATTTATTATGTTAATAGTTTTTAATTTTGTATATTTGCATGTTTTTTGAAGAATTTTAGGAAGTATTTATAAAGTTATTAATTCTAATTATTACAAAATTTTGATTTTTCTACCTAACTATGATGTCTCACTTCATTAAAAATGATATTTTCAATTGAAAATATTTTAATTTTTTTGTAATCCTATTTTTTTCTTGTTTTGTTTAATAATTTTTTTTTAGTTTTTATAAAATTTTATAAAATTAAATTTTATAAAATTCTATCACATATATTTTGAAAGGCTTCATGATAAGATCCTCGTGATCTTCAAGAAGTCGTTCCTAATGTGAAAAAGTTTTAAAATGCGATATTGTAACTATTTTTAAACAAAAAAATATATTAATTGAAATTAAAAAAATATTGATTCAAAAGTTTGCAACCATGTGAGTGATTTAGACAATTTGCAAGTTGCTTTAAAAACAAAAATAGTTTTAAAAACATCGTGAATAAAATAATCAAAACAAAGTAAATATAACATAATAAATAAAACATAAAAAAAAAATTGTATAACAAACATTAAAAATTTATAAAAGCATTATATAAAAGTTTGAATTTAAAATGTATGTATTGTAGAGAAAGGGGAAAAGCAAACGTTGCTTTTCCCCTTTTACTACAATACTGTAGAGAAGGAAGAAAACAAGCGTTTTGCAAAGCCACAACAAAACTCATCTAGCTAAAAGCTTATTAAAGTGACTTCCACCGACATTTTCATTTCTTATTGCACTCCTACGACAACAAAAAGACAAATTGTTGTAAACATGTTTATATCTACAAAAATGAATATGTTAGTCAAACTACTTATAAGTAGTAGCAAGTTACTATAGCAGTAGTTACTATAGTTTATTAAAATTTCATATTTATTCCATCATAATAGTCCTTATAGCTTTAGTCCTTATAGTCTTTATGCTTATAGCTATAGCTGGGTCCTTAATATATTGGGTCCTATTGGGTCCATTATAGTCCTTATAGCTTTATTGATGTTTTATTATGCTTGTTTGTGTTTTTTTTATTTTATTTATATGATATTATTCATTAAATAATTAAATACAAATATAAATGAAATCTTATATACCTGGCAAGGCTTTTTGATGCTATTATTTTAATATAAGTGTTATTACATATATGATTTTGCAGATATCACTTTGTCTTCTCCATTGTGCTCTGGATTTCATATCAACATAAATAACAACACAAAATTACTGTTGGAAAGTGGCGAACAAGGTTTTTACTTTTTTATTAATATTAAGGTTTTTACTTTTATTTTCCTATTAAACTCTTTTTCTTTTTTTTTTTTTTTATAGTTTCTTATTTTGAGTAAAATTGGGTTTTGTTGAACAGTTTTTAAATAATTTTTTTTTTAACACAAAATGTGTTAAATCAAACAAGAATTTTTTTTTTTTAGTTTTTTTTTTAACTTTTTCCAGAATTAACAAGTTTAATTATTTAAAAAAAAAAAAAACATAATTGAAATAAATAACATATCAAATATTAATCTTAAGTTGAATATGTTCTACAAAACTAGATTTTTAGTTTTGTTATTAAAGTTTTTAATTCCAAAACAAGAAAGTCAGCATTGTAATCATTATAGAAAGTCAGCAAATCATTATAGAAAGTCAGCAAATCATTATAGAAAGTCAGCAAATCATTATAGAAAGTCAGCAAATTATTATAGAAAGTCAGCAAATCATTATAACTTGCTTTATAATAATATATTTATAATAAGTTTGTGAAAATCTGTTACTAAAAAAAAAAAAAAAAAAAGAAAGATTTGGAATCTTTATTTGCACCTTTGGAAACAGATGTTTCTAAAATACTTTTAACAAAAAACAAATTGAAACATTTCTTCAATCAACCAATTTTGATCAAATCTTTACTTTTTTCAGTTAATTAATAAAATTCTGGATTACAAAGCCCTTTATGGCTCTTTATTACAACACCATTACCATAATTTTTAATTTGTACAAATACAACATTTGCCTTGAAAACATAATTTAAATAAAAAAATATTTTCTTAAAAAAAAATTATTTCCTTTAGTATGAGGGACTGGTGCTAGTTGCAACGCAACTAGCTGTTGCAACTAACTGTTTATTTCCTGTAACTTTGATTTTTTTTTAACGCAATAAAATGACATCAATCCAACATTGATAGATATAATATAAAACCTATGAATTTGCAATTGTAAAAATATAAAAAAGTAAAAAACGATCTTACCTGCTCTGAGGCAAGTTGCAACAGTGAATGGGGTAAGTTTCAATGCAATACTTTGAAAGTATTAATCCTGCAGAGTTATCAAAAAGTTATTAGTTATTTAATAATTTTTATTATTTCACATAAGTTTTATACTTGTAATAAAGAAAGTGTAAAATACTGAAAATATGTGTAGACTCAGAAATTTTTTCGTTGAGCTACAATATTTTTATTATGTAAAACTTTATTAAGACCCAATATTTGCTGAGTTTATGATTACATTTAAATAAATGTAATTATAATTTTATTTATTTTTGTTGCCCATTGTCTTTTTTCCATTAAACATACATACATGACAATAATTTATACCTATTGAAATAATGCAACATAATGTTCTAGGGGGTCTAAATTTTTATGACATCTTGTGACGAGGGGGAGGGAGGGGCTAAAAAATTGCAATAAATTGCATGATGTTGTTTATGGATGACCCCCTAGTGCAATGTACCTCTTTTGCAACTAGTCCCGGTCTCCACTACCTTTTTTAAACTATAACTAAGCTTAGTCAATCTTGATACTTAAATCTCTTTTCCTTTCATAAAATAACTTTAAATTTAGAATTAAAAAATATTTAAAAAAATACTTAAATTTAAATTTTTTAGAAAAACCTTTTTAAAACCATGTTTGGTACTTATTGCCATAAAAAATAATATTTAAATATGGCACAGGCAATAAACATCCTTCCTTGTATGGAATACTGTTACCATATCTGAAGTGGATTTTTGAATGATGTTTTTTCTCTTTTAGACATGATTCAAAATCATATTGTAAACATTGTTGAAACTGCTCTTGCAGTTAACCTTCAACCATCGCCACATCGTCGTAATGTTGTTTTTCTTTCTCTTTTCTATAAATACTATAATACGTGCTGCTCTAACGAGCTGGCGTCTCTCCTCCAATTTAATTAAAACATTCTTTTGTTACTCATCACTTAATCAAGTCTCATTTTTATTACTGTGTTCCTAATTGCTCCAAAAATTCTTTTTTGTCTCTCGAACATCAGTTTATTGGCATTCGCTCCCTTTATCTTGTTTTACTCATTCATATAGTTTGCAGTCTTATATGTATTCTGGTAATTGTTATCTTGCTTAATAACTTCCAGTACTGATAGTAATTGTTTTCAGCCTTGTTAGAAATGAAGGTTGGAAGTAAATGTATACATATATATATATATATATATATATATATATATATATATATATATATATATATATATATATATATATATATATATATATATATATATATATATATATATATATATATATATATATATATATGTATATATATGTATAAATATATATATATATATATATATATATAATATATATATATATATATATATATATATATATATTATATGTATATGTATAAATATATATATATATAGTAAATATATATATATATATATAGTAAATATATATATATATATATATATATATAGTAAATATATATATATATATATATATATATATATATATATATATATATATATATATACATGGTTATTCAGACTATAAATTATTTTGTAAGGACTTTAAACTAAAAAGTATTAAGACATGAATTTAAAAAATTTAGACATGATATTTATATTTTGAATATGAATTTTATAAAAGTTTATTGACACAATAAACTTGAAATTTTTTCAAAATTTCATGACATGGATTTATAAAAGCTAAAGTTAGACTTCTCAGTTATCTTCAGCAGGACTTTTTTTTAAAAAAAAAAAGTTTGATTTGCTAACCTTAACAAGTGTTTTCATGGTATCTTCTAAGCTATATAGAACTATCATCAAAAGGTGTCAAATGATATAAAATTCTCAATCTTTCAAAAGAATTGAAACTAAAAGGTTAACTAATATTAATTTAAACTAAAAGATTACCTTATATTAATAATATAAGGTATAAGTGTAAAAGGTACAATAATAATAATTATGATTGTGCAATTGGAATACAGGAATTTTGTTTCGTTTGACAAAATTAAATTTTGCTTTTAAAAAAAGTACTATAATCTTTTGACTAATGATAAAGTAAAAATGCAACATTTATCAAAATATACTTACAATTAAAGTTAATTATTTATTAACTTTAATTGTAAGTATATAGATTTAGTAGAGTAATTTTATTATTTCCATTTATTATTATTTTTTTTCAGATGCTGTTGTTGATATTTCATTCTTAAAAACTGGGGAGATTTTAATGAAGGTGAATCATATATAATCATTTAAAAGTTATTATTTACTTATGTGTTATTTCTTATGTGTTATTTCTTATGTGTTATTTCTTATGCGTTATTTCTTATGTGTTATTTAGTTATGTGTTATTTCTTAGCGCATTCAATAGTAAAAAATCTGTCAACTTGAAAAATACAAAATTATCATGTACATTATACATTGCATAATTTTTGTTAAAGAAAATATTTTGTTCTGATAAATGCATTTTTTTATTTTTTTTTTATTGCTTTTATTTTAAACTTCAATAACTTCATTTTTGCTTATAAGTTCAATATCTATTTTTTAAAAGATTTACTTTGTAATTCAAATTTTGCTTTATACATCAGACATGACTTATAGTTATATAAAAAATGTTTAATTATTTTTAACTAAATGTTCGACATCATCAATTGTTTTTTTCTTTAACAATGGGTTTCACACCTATTGTGAGTTAAGGAAATGTTTTGCTATTTTTTACTAAAAAAGTAGAAATGCATTGGAAATGAGTTTTTTCAGTTGTCAATGAAATACTTAAATTTGGGTTGGTTTAAAATTGCTTTCTTTTTTTTTTTTTTTTTTCTTACACTTTTGTCGAGCCATTGTAAAAGATTGTAAGTGAAATGGAATAATTTTAGTAAATTTAAAACAATTTGGAACCAACCCTTAAACACAAATGAATTTTTTCTGGGAACTCCCAGAATTTTGGAAATTCACTCAAAACTCTTTTAACTTTCCAAAAATTTCCAGATGTTTTTGTTGTTGATTTGAAAAAAATTTTATAAAATTTTTATAATAAGACAGCGTTTGCATTTAAATAAATTTGTTTTCTATAATTGAAATTTTCACAAGAGCAATTTTTGTACCAATTTGTTTTTTGTTATTTTTATAATTCATTCTAAAATTAATTTTTTCGAATAGTAGAAATTCCTTTTTTGAAAAAAGTTTAATTATCTAAATTCCATTACAAAAGTTTGAAAAATTTAAAAAAATAAAAATATATCGGAAAAACAGAAAAGTTGAAGAGCGTTTTTCTAATATAAATTCAACGCTGAAAAAAAAGATTACTTCACATGAACAGTTAAAGAATCTATTAATGATCATGCAAAAAAGTGCAGAAAATGAGAAGCTGACAAATGTTTTGCTGCAGAACGTTATAATAATAAAAAGTATTTCTGAACCATTGTCTGACATTTCATTTTTCTTTTTCATTGTCTGACATTTCATATTTAAAAAGTAAATAAATCATTACTCTTTGCATATTATTTATGGTAAATTGAGATATTATATTTAATTTTAGAGAAACATAATTATTCAGTAGTGTTTAGTTACTTTATTTACCTTCCTCAATTTGTTGGCTGTATTATTTTCCTGGATTTTCATAGAAAAAATTTCCAGGATTAAGTAATGGAAAAAATTTGGTGTTTTTAAAACCACTTTTAATATTATTTACCATAGAAGGATCAATTTATGAATTTAATTTTGGTAAACAATTTTAAACCAACCCTTAAGTAAAGGAAAAATCCTGTATTTTAAAACCAACTTTTTATATTATTTGCCAAAGAAGAATCAACTATTCATAAATTTATTGCCTCTGGTACCTTTTTCTTTTCTTTTTTTATTTGTTCTTCATGGTCAAATTTTTGCCAATGACGCTTTGACAAAAACGCTTGCACAAAGTGCCATAGTCAAAGTGCCATTTGCAAAAAGATTTTACTTTGTTTTCATTGGCCCAAAAACTGTCACATCAAGTTGCTGCAAAATATGTTTTACATATGGGAACAAAGCAATAACAAAAACAAAAAAATTATTCCATTTTTAGAGCCAAACTCACTAAGTTCGATAGTTACGCATGACTATCATAAAGAAATGTAACTAGTAAGAAATTTCTTCTTTTATAAAAAATAAATAAAAACATTTGTAATATACTCAAAATAACATTCTGCGGCCATCTAACCACTTTGACTTTTTCAAATGTCTCATCCTGATGGAGCAGCATTTATAATTCTATTTGGAAGACAAACAGAAGTTCCACTAACACTTTCTTCATGTGTATTTTTTCCTCGTTCACCAATTAGTAAATTATTTTTGTTTTTTCACTAACTATTAATTTTTGGTTACAACTGAAAACTACTCTTATCCATGTTAAAAATTTGCATTCAAATTTTGAGCGTTTACTCCCAAAAGATTTGGAATTTCAGAAATCCAACCTCTTATGGCTTTTTCAGTTACTGCTCCGCTAATTTAGTTTAAGTATTCACTATGTTTTTGAGATATCTGTTCATGTATGCAATAAAATGAATAAAACCAATCTTTAGTAGGACGGTTGTTAATACATTGTGTTTTTATATTGTTGGGATTCAAATATATTGGATTTCAAGTACTAAATTCAAGACTACTGACTAAGTCCCATTCATGTTAGTATCTATTTAACTAACTTGTTTTCACTTTGTACTTATTCATACCCACAGTGTTGTATCTTTTAAAAAGTTCTTCCAATTATTTTATCACGAAGCATCTGATATTGAATTCCATTGAAATGGAATTCTTGCTTGCTTTGTACACAATCATTCCTTTTTTAAGCACGTTAATATCATCATGTAATTGACTATCTGTTTTTTAAGCACGTTAATATCATCATGTAACTGACTATCTGTTATATTTCAGTTAGTACTTAAGACCTACTATATGTGCCGAATAGTGGAAATATGGTCTGGGTTTTAATCTGTTGTTTTAATATGTGAAACAAACCTATATAATTTTTTTATTCAATTTTTTTTATATATTAAAGTTTTTTATAGTTATTTAACATCATATTATCAAGAAACAAAATGTATTGGTTTTGGTGCATTAAAAAAAAAAATTCTTTAAGTTTTAACTTTTAAATTAAATATAAATAATTTAATGATTGGTTGATAGGTTGGGGAATCAAAATATCTATGCACCGCTAAAACTGAAAAAAAAGGTTCAAAAGAAATTGTTGAGGTTTTCATTAATGGAAAAAAAGAATCATTTGAAATGTTTTACAATAATGGAAGTATACATATCTTTACTCAGGTAATTTGATGGTATTTTATGTTGATGAATAAAAATATCACTAAAGTAGCAGATTTTAAGTCTGAGATGATTTTGTAATGAGCCTATACTGATGCTTTTTACCTTATGGAAGTGCCTTCAATTTAATTTATAGTATTTTAAGGAAAGAGAAGAGTGTTAGTTTCAAACTAAATATTCTAAAAAATACTTGTACATATGAAAAATAACTGTTTTAGTTTTGAATTTTGAAGTTTTTTTAAAAAAACGGTTTTCAGTTTTACAAATTTGAAATAAAATTTGTTTTTTGACCTTGATCTTGACCTTAATGGCGGTGATTTGACTTGGCTTTACAGGATGGTTCATTTCTTGTAAACCAAAAACAGCCACTATTCCTCACAGATTCTTCCGATAAACATTTAAAAGACAGTGCGATTGCTCCAATGACTGGTAGCATTTTACAGGTTTGTATTTTACTTTTTTTGCTTGATTCTTTAGATTACTTAACTCATGTTACAAAAGTTATGAAAAGTTTATCACAGCTTAATGTTCTCTAGGTTTGTGTTAAAGTGGGAGATACAGTAGAATGTGGTGACACTGTGGCGGTTATATATGCTATGAAATTAGAAGTATTTTTGAAATTTTTTTTTTTAACAGTTATGTTCTTTTTTTTGTTTGTTAATTTAATTATGTTGCTATTGGTAATAGTAACTAGGTACTTAAGCTATTTTTTATTTTTTTTTAATTTTTATTAAATTTATCAGCATCGAGTTGTTGCTCCTTATAATGGTAAAGTAAATGAAGTATATGTTCAAGAAGGGGGAATGGTTAACAAAGGCGATGAACTTGCTAAAATAAGTAAATCTGAATAAAGAAGGAAAAACAAAACAAGTACAAACTTAAATGTTTTTAAAACTTTTGTTTATAATTACTGAAATTAATTTAAATTTATTTTTTTTTCTTTTAAATAATATTTATACATTATTTAAACTTTAAAATTTAAATTTAAATTAATTTTACTTTTTAGGTGAAAGTAACAGTATCAAATAAAAATAAAGTCAAAAATTAAAAGAGTAATCTACACTTTTGTATTGATTCCAATCAAATAGTTTTGAATTTTATAAACTTTTAGAAGAAAAAGAAGAAGAAGATTTTAATAGCTTTTTGTTTTTGAGTTGGGTCTCAATATATATGGACAATATTTAAAGAACAATTTGTGATATTATTTATAATGTGATATGATTTATAAATTTTCATAAATATTTTTTTGAATTTTTATAAATATTTATAAATATTTTCTCTTTATTTAACATTTTAAATAAAAGTACAAGTAATAGAAGTAATTATAATAAAGAATAATATAATATATAATGTAATAACATTGTTTCATTAATATTATTAATAATATAATATACTGATTGATAATAATATATTAAGTAGGTGATATCATTTACTTGTATATTTTAGCTACCAATTATTTTTGGGTTACATTTAAATAGTTTTGAAATAATCAGTTTCAAATCAAAGTCAAAGTTTTGAGAAAGTTGAAAGTAGCATATATAAAAAAACTGCTTTTGTTATTATTATTAATAATTATTGTTCTTTTTAATCTTATTGTTATTTGTTATTATTATATCAACCCTCTGAATTAGCGTTGGCATTTGTCAATGCCAACCTAACTGCCGACCTAAAAGTGTTTGCGTCCAGCAAAATATTGCCGACTTTATTTCTATGGCCCAAAGGTTGTTACATATTTAAAAATAAATCTTTTTATTGATTATTTCTATGTACAGGAATATTTGTTGATATAAATGTTTACTATATAATATATGCCACATACAATTTGGTCTAGGATTTGTTAGGCTATTTATATCTTAGGGTAGATATAAAAAGTTGCTAAAATAGTTTTTACTTTTTTAAAATAGGTTTTGAAATAATATCTTGCCTCATCCAGTTTTTTTTAACCACTTATACATACACTGAGAAACAAGCTAAGCAAGTTTCTACGACAGGCATATATTTAATATCTATTAATATATATTTCTTTTGTTTAAAAGATTATTGCAATAAATTTCAAATTCTTTAGATGTAATGTAAATGAATAATGGCTGAACTGCAAACTGAAACAGATTCTATAGTTGTTACTACAGAAGTTTTAAAAACTGATGATGTCAAAGTACCTGTTTTGGTAGATTATTAAAATTATGTTTCTCTTCTATTTTATTTTTATTTTTTCAGTTAATTTTATTTGCTGTTGTTTTTTTACAGAGTTGTTAGCATAGGTCTTAATTTTGGGCCTTAAGACAAGGCCAAGGCCACACTATGCTTTTTTATGTGATCATTTTTCTTTGGTCTAGGGGCCACTGCAATCCAGGTGGCTACAATATTATTTTCATTTTAATTTTCAGTAAATGTTGTTATAAATATTACTTTCTCTATTACTGCACTATGTTCATACTGACACACAAAGATGTTGCGCAGAAAAAAGAGTTGCACAGAAAAAAAACGAAAAGTAATAACATAAGACCTTAAAAATGTCTTAAAAAATATTTGAAATGAAACCTCATAGTAGTATTATTTGGTGACTGGTTTAGTATATATGTAGGTTGACCATGTGACTTTTAACATCATATTAATATCAAAGTTATTTAAGCTTTGAATTGGTTTTTAAAGTTGTTAAAGCAGTAGATATATTAAAGTAAATTGATTTTTTTTTTCCTGCAATAAAGTGATGTTTTTTTAAAAGTGTTGTACATAAGACTTTAAACTGGGTGCAAAATATTGGTTTATATTAAACTAGAGCAAACAACTCTCTTTTTATTAATATAAATCCGGTCCACAGAGATGCACATAAATTTGATTTTCATATCACTTACATCTTTAGCCAAAATCTATTATAAAAACATGTAATCTATTTTTTAAGTTTTAATGAAATTTCTTTATTATTTAAGTATAATTTGTTTGAAATGTGTTTATTTTTTAAGAAATTTTTTTTCAATATGATGTGTTTACTATATCTTTTTTGTAACTATATAATTTTTCTGCTGGCTAAACTTTTTAATTTTTCTTGGTAGTTTCAAGCAATATAACTTGTCATTTTGAAAAGGACTCAAATCCAAAACTTTTAACAGTTAGTTTAAAATTTAGATTAAAGATTTCTGCATTATTTACGTTTTTTTTATAAAAAAGTTAAATAAGTTATATAGATTCTTTATTTATCTACTTATGTGTTTAATTTCTTCAGCAGTGTAGACATTATTTTAATAAAAATCATTTTTTGTTGATTTTAAAAAATTTTGATAAATATCCTTTTCGAAATGACAGGTTTAGTTCTTTTGAACCTCAAATGCGTTTATTTAAAATATTTAATTTTTTTTTAATTTAATTTAATTTTTCAAACAACTTATTTTCTTAATTCTTGTCTTATATTACATAATCAAGTTTTCATGTAGCAGGTAACAGTAAGCAAAAAATAAAAATATTAAATTGATTGGCAAATTCTTTTACTGTTAATTGAAAAATTATTAATTTTGATTGTAAAATAAAAATAATTCATCTTTAAATAAATTCTATATCAATTCTATATGCTTAAAATTAATTCTATATGATTGAATTTGTTGTTTGATGAACCTCCAAGCAGTTGTTGTTGCTCAATGTCATTAATCTATTGTCGCTGTTCTATCATATGAATCTAATTGTTTATCAAAGTAATAAAAAACATAATTAAAAATTTAAATCTCAATGCAAAAAGTAAATCATTTAAAAAAATATTAAAAGTTTTTTTAAGTTTTTTAACTTGTTTTAATATTTTTTACTTTTGCAGAGGCTAAGATTAACTTCTCCAAAAACTGACAAAAAAATAAAATGGAAAGAAGGAACTGTCGATAACGAAGGAATGGGGAAAAAGTCATCAAAGTGTAAGTTTAATGAGTTTTTGAATTTCTTTAAATATACTTCTTTTCTTCTCTTTTCCATATAAAAATCAGTTTTTAGTTAGATTTAATATTAATCACTTTTTATTATCTTTTTTTATTTTATTTTTTTTTGTTTTTTGTTTTGTCTTTTCATTATAATAAGAAACAACTTTTTTTATTAAATTACTTCTTTTTCCTTAAAAAATTTGTTTTATTCAAAATAACTTTTAAATTAAATGTGTTTTTTTTTTTTTTTGTGACAAAAAGTGTTACTACTGCGTAAGAAAATGTTGCAAAAAAACAAAATAAAAGCAAAACTCTCTCCCTCCTTCCTTACCTCTCAATTAAATAGGCCTGAAATTCCATTTTAGAATAGCTATAACTTGTTAAAATATTAACGAATGTAATGTACATAGTAATGTGATATAAAATTATTAAGTATTATTAGACTTCAAGTCTGACCTTATTTAACTGGCACCAAAAAGTGATTTTTTTGTTTGTTTGTTTGTTTGTTGTTTTCTTTTCCAATAAAGTTTGGCATGAAGCAGTTAAAGTCAGTTTAACCTTATTTTTATTTGTTTTGACTGAGTGAAACTTTTCTCTGAAAGTACATTTCAGCAGGAAATTGCTCTCAATTCTCTGCAACATATGTAAAATATCAAATTGGGTTATCTTCTTAAAAAAATATTTTTTATGTTATACTGTTACTTTTAACAGATTTTTATTTAACACACAATGATTCAAATTGGTTAAAAGTAAAAATGTCCAAATATAGAATTTTATTAATCTGCTCTGTAAAATGAATTTTTTAGTTTTTTTATAATAATACGAAATTCTTAACTTTATTTCAGGTTGCTGCATTTACAAGAAACCAAAATTGTTTGGGGAGTCATCAGACTCTGAGAGTTCAGATGATGACTTGTGTAAAGCACCTAAAACTTATCATAAACGTTCCAAGAAAAACCATGATAATCATGAAAACTGTTCAGCTTGTACCTAGTCTCAAAAAACTATAATTATTTAATGATTTTTTATATTTCCTTAGGCAATAGTGCCGATGGCATTTTTAGGTACCAATCTCCTGTTGATTACCAATGCCCATAATATTGTTTTTTGAAATGTTGTTTTTTGTTATATATATACAATGTAAGTTATTATATCTATAATAAATATAGATTGTTTGAAATAAAATTTTTGTTTTTGAATTAAGTTTAAAATAAAATAGCGTTAATTTTGAGTTTATATAAACTTTTTATAATTTTGAAATTTATAAAATAGTTTCAATTACAATAGTTTTGAATTGGAATTACCTTTTTAACTAACACACTACTTTTTACTAAATTAGTTTTTTAACTTATCAACTTTTTACTGTTTTATTTTTTTTTTTTACTACTTTGATACTACTCTTTACTACTTTAGTTCTACTTTTTACCACTTATTGATTCTTTTTTTGCCTAACTGAAATGTCAAACAATTTTTGTTTCAGAGAAATAATGTAGTATTTTTTTTCAAATTATGAACAATATAGATTTGTATGCAAATGAAGAATGTTTTTACTCAGTTCTTGGGTGTCACCAAACATGTTCTGAAGATCAACTACGGGCCGAGTTTCATATACGAATTCTACAGTGTCATCCAGATAAAAAGTCAGGCGATGTAACTGCAAGTTTGGAATACAATAAGTATTTTCAAATACATTTTTAATATTATTTTTTTATTTAAACATAAAGTTTAAAAGTTATTTTCTAAATTATTTTGATTCCTTATATTTCTTATTAGAGGGTTTATTGGCATGAAAAATATGAAGGATGACATTTTGTCACATTTTTTTTGTCACTAGAAATATTCTACAATTTGTTTATTAAAAACTCAAGAAAGAATATTTAGCAATTTTTTGAATTGAGTATTTTACATTAGCATAAGTACTTACTTAAGCTTTTTAAGTTAATCTTTTCTTTAATCTTATGACTTCATCATAGTTAATCTGCATTCTTGTTTTAGCTGTTTTAGCTTTTTAAGTTAATTTCATTTTTTTTTCTTATCTTATGACTTCTCAAGTTTATCTACGTTACTAAAATGACAGTGTCAAAAATACTTTGACTGTATTTTTTTATTTTATACTATTTTTATAAGTTTCACTCTTTTTATATATATATATATATATATATATATATATATATATATATATATATATATATATATATATATATATTGATGTTTATCTATTTCTTTTGAATTTTTTGGTTATATATTTATAGTAGAACACATAAAATAAAGTTAATAAAATTTAATAAAAGAATTGAAAAAAAGTAAAAAATGACAAAAAATTTAAAATTGAGTTGTAAAAATTTTTCATTTCTAGGATTTGGTCAAAATTCTTAATTTAACTTTAAGTTTGATGATTTAAAAAGCAAAAATTTTTTACACAAAAATCAATACTAGTTAATAATTTTTTCATCATAACGAAGGTTTTGCCAAAATAATATGACCCACATGGACCTTTCAATTTTTTCCATTGTTTTTTTTTTTTTTTTCACAAATTTTTATTTAATAGTTAATGTAAATAAGGACTTTTTTTTCCACCGTAGGCTTTAAAAACATTACTTTTTTGAACATGCACTTTAAGGATGTTAGCCAGGAATTTTTTTTTATTACACGTTTTTACAATATTTGCTGCTACTCTATAAAAACATGTTGGGAATTTTATTCAAAGTTGTCCTAATACTACTTAAAAAAAAACCTGAGACTATATGTGGCACCATTTGGCTATTTAACACTCTGCCAAAAGATAAACACCTAAAAGATAAAACCAAAAGGTAAACACCTAAAATAAATATTAATCGTAATTATTCTTTAAAACAAATAAATCTTAATTATTCTCTAAAATAAATAAATCTTAATTATTCTCTAAAATAAATATCAATCGTAATTATTCTCTAAACTATTTAACAAGTGCTTAACTAAACTTTTTTTTTTTTTTTTTTTTTTTTTTTTAATGCTGAAAAATGCGTCTCAATTTTAGAAATTCTTGAAAAAAGCCGCCTTACTACTATTAGATAGTTTTTGAGTCTTAACTTAACGTCTATTATCTATAACCTCTATTATCTCAATTTGAGTCATTTGACAACAATCAAATTTTGACCCTTTTACTGCTTACTTGTTATACGTAATTTCAGAAAGTTCATTGTAAGGGGGTTTTTTCTTGTGATTTCAAAGATTTGATAATATCTGGCATGCTGGTCTTCTACATAAGTTTGCTTTGTATGGTGTATTTGGAAAAGTTTGTAAAGTTATTTAATCATTTCTTTATAAAGTATTATTATATAACCTTGGTAGCCAACACTTTTACCTTGGTAGCCAACACTTTTCACCCATTATTAACCAGTAACCACAAGGGTACCACAAGGTTTTATTTATTTTGTTGTGTGTTGTATTATATCTAAATTAATTACCTTTCAAATATTCTTATCTTTAAAGTGATAATATTTGCTGATGAAACAACTATATCCTCTAGTGTTGATTATGAGTCATTACCTTTTGATTATTTCAAACAAGCAACCCGTTTTAAATGTTGTTACTCTTATATTACAGCTTATGGCTTGCATTAACTGTTGAATTTTAAACAAGTATAGCTCTATTGTTTACTTCAAAAAAATGCAGATATTCTTATATTGATGAATGGTTACTCTTTTACAAAGTCTTTTATTTTAGGTCTTTTTCGATTATAGCTCATTACTGTTCTCTCATGGAAACCACATTTACAATCCATTCATTTAGCATTTGCTGAGGTTGACTCTCTTCATAGTGCCTGCCAGTTTGTTACTCCTGATTTTATTCTTTACCACTATGAATCTGTTCTTGTATCAAATACTGTTGTCATATTAGGCTGGGTTATCTAATGATGCCCTTTCTATGATACCATTGTATGCATCGGAAATGTAATTTGACCTGTTTTAGTTTCCAATATTGAATAACTGCTTTATTTAAGGTTACATCTCTTTTTAGTACAAATATATGTTTACTATGGTTGCTGTTAAAGTGAGCTATTTAACTATCTGTCTATTGTTTCCACAACTAAATTATAAGTGGAATTATTCTTTCATGCTAAAGAAACTTTTATTAATTTTTTTCTTTAACATAAATATTTGTGAGTCATCTTCCGATTGCATATTTTTCTGACTCATACAATCTTTCGTCTTTTTTTTTTATTTACATTAACTCTTTTATTTTACTTTCCAGTAGTTACAAGACAACGATTTTAACAAAAAAAAAAAAGTAACTTGGTTAGTGGTTACTGGCACTCTTTTTTGAAATAAAATTTTTTATTTAAAACCAGCAGCTTTTTTTAGTAAAGTGCATATTATTATAATTATGATATTTTTAACTTATAATTTATGTCAGAGGTATTTATGGTAAAGGTATTTAATAATAATAAAAAAAAAACATTATTACAGTAATGGTTTTTTTTTTATTATCATTATTTAAAAAAAAAAAAAAAAATTTTTATAAATTTAGTGTTTGAGTTTCAAATATAATGTTGTAAAAAGTAAAAACGAATATAACCAGTTCAATGACATCTTAAAGCGTGTTATGTTTTTTTTTTTTTTTTTTTTTTTTTTCTCTTTTTAAGATTGATGAAAGCTTACTGGGTATTAATGAACGAACGTAATGTCTACGACAAATGGAAAAATAGTGGTATAAAGGTAAGCTATGAACAATGGAAAAGCATAATGGGGCATTGCTGCATGCACTGGAGTAAACCATCGCAGCAGTTATCGTTGGAGAACGGTACATTTAGTTACATATATTTTTCTTTACTTTTAAAATTTTGTTATTAGGGTTGTTTATATTTAGTTATGAGATTGTAGTTGTTCTCGGATAATCGTTTTTAACGTTAAGTTATCAGATAAAAATTTCAACTAATAGTTATCAGGTAATTGTTTTTAGCGTTCAGTTTTCAGAAATCGTTTTTAACGTTTAGTTATTAGATGATCGTTTTTAACGTTTATTTATCAGAAAATCGTTTTTAACGTTTATTTATCAGAAAATCGTTTTTAACGTTTAGTTATCAGATAATCGTTTAGTTAAAGATTGGATTGTTAGATCGGTTGATTGGATTGTTAGATCGGTTAGATTGTTAGATCGATTGTTAGATGATTTTTATTAGAGAATATTTTTTAATTTTTATAGTACAAGAATCATCCAATCAAAACGAAGTTTATAAATCTTCTTTTTCGAACCCACGTGAAACGAGCAGTCGTTTAACTTTATTTCGGAATTATAAAATATAATATTTGGGTTGCGAATGATTTTTTGTTTCTTTTTTTGTTTTTTTTCGAAAAACACTTCGGAACTATTTTTCAATAGTTTTTAGTTTTTTATAAAAAAAAGTTTTTTATAAAATATTCACGATTTAGTTTAAATAGTTATTTTTTAATATTTATTTTTTATACTTTTCTTTATATTAACATTAAAGTAAAAAAAAAAAAATATTTAATAAATAGTTTGATAATTTTATATTATTTATATGTGCTGTACTTAAAATTGAGACTTTATTTCAGCTGTGAACTATTTTATGCATTTTAAGAAAAATAATCAAATATGGTATTTTAATTCATGAAACTATCTTTTAAGGATACTTAAAAGACAGAGGAGAGTATGATAGTTGTACATGTTAGAACCCCTACGTATTATAAAGAAGCCAATATTCAACTTGTATAAAATAACAGTTTGGTAAATCTATATTAGTTATTAAACCTGTATATTATCACGAAGGCAGCAATCTTATAAACCTCTATTAGTGAGGAAAATTCAAATTTTGTCAAAAAAGCTTAAAACTAAATAAATTTTGCATAAGTCAGCAATTTAAAATTAGTGAGGAAATATTTTTTAATATAGTTTAATATTAGTGAGGAATATTCAAATTTTGTCAAAAAAGCATATAGCTAAATAAATTTTGCACAAGTCAGCAGTTTAAAATTGTTACCAAAGTCATAAAAAAAGTTAAGGATAATTAAGTTTGCAGATAAATAAAGATAATTAGATAACCTTTGCAAAAGTCAAAGAAAAGTCATGGAAATAATTCGATAAAATAAACTTCTGGAAAATGACTTATTGCATTCATGGTTTATACAATTAAGAAGTCAAATAAATTCATGTGACCACATTTGGGATTTAGAAAAAACTATTACTCGTTACGTATTATTTTTTACAACGTGACGCCAAAGACAGCTTTAGTCCTTTAAATCGGAACGTTATAATGATAATTCGTTTTACTGGTTACTTTTACTAGTAATAAAAGTTTTCAATAATTTACATCTTGGAAAACGCATCAAGTTAGGACTTTTGGTTGATTTCTTTAACTTTGACTCTAATTAGGACAATGGTGTTGCTCATTAAGATTTATTTGTGCTATGTTTCACAGAATAATTTAATGTGTTTCCGTTAAATAGGCATACGAAATTTATAAAATAGACTTAGGTATGCTTTGCATAAGGTTCTAATAAAAAATACGCTTGAGCGGATCGGCGAATATTCATTGCGCCATTTTTAGCGTTTATACTTATTGATATATACTTATAAATATTATTCTAAATAGTATTATGATAAATATTATAAATATATTGGTTTATACTTATAAATATTGTTGGTGAACCGTCAAAACGCTTTTTATTATTGGTGAACCACAAATAATATTGGTGAACCACAAAACTCTTTAAAAATTTTGAATTATTATAAATTACCTATTTGCGTCAACGTATGAAGATTAAGCGTTTAAGTGCAATCTTGGTATCGTTTTCTTATTGTCATATTATAAATCATTTATAGATTGAACTAGAAATTGCTAGCAATCATTATTCCCTACATTTAGATATGGTTTATTTCTTAAAGATTTACACTATTTTTTGACGAATATCAATGCTTTTTTCTCGCAAAAAGCATTGATATTTTCGGTACATGAACTTTTTTTTACAAGTAGTGTTTTAGAATAATCATGTGATTTAAAAATACTTTGTTATATTGTTGTACTCGCACGGTGGTTTAAGTTTAAGCATTTCCGGACATTTATTATGCGCATGCGTTACTTTAAAAACAACAACAACATCGTAATTTTGACTTTTTTTTTGTTATGGTTTTTTATCGTAACCTAATAAAAAAGGTCATATCATTGCTTTGAAGATGTTTATACCAGATATAAATTCATAAACTAATAAAATATATGGCCAAGGAAAACACATTAATTTGAAATACTTAAATTTGTTATTTTTTATGTAATAAAAAACGCGGGAAAGTCGGAAATTATTTTATGGTCATCCTAATTACTAAAACATATTAATTAGGCATTTATTAGAATTTTTATGCCTTAAAGCTGTACATATTTTAAAAGAAGAAGGTTTCAACTTTATAATAAAAAAAAATCAGAGTCCGGTTACTTTTTTAAGTTTAAAAATTTTGTATATCAAATCTTATATTTTAGCAATAAAAAAACATACAAAAATGACTGAGTCTTATGAAACAAAACTAAAAACATTATGCAGAATATGTGGAGAAAGTGTAGATAATGATAGTGTTCTTTTAACAAAACACATTGCTAGAATAGAATTTTGTTTTTTTATCCGAATCGATAAAGACCACTCAAATATACATCCTCAAAAAATGTGTTATAGATGCTTTTCAATATTAAGAAATATTGAAAAAGGTTCAAACACTGAACTAAAATTAAGATCATAGCCTGAAAATTGTAATCTAACTGAATGTGTTTGCTTTAAATCCAATAAAGAAAGAAAAAAAAGAAAAAGATAAGTAGAA